GCGCGGAGCCCCCCTCGCGGGTTACATAACCAGGCTCCCGGCCGAGTGGGCAAAACTCAACACCTCTCGGGGGTGGGGGGCAAGGGAGAGCCCCCAGATGTCCCTTCCATGGCCTCCAAAGACGCAGGAGGGGAATGCCCTGGACAGGGCGCAGGCGGACACTGGGGGTGCGGCCCCTCTCAGGATCCCGATTTTCAGCATCTTTGGCATTTGCGCAAAGTTGCTCGGGTGGCAGTGGTGGGGTGCAGGGGGCGCGCGGCTTCTGCACCTGTTCGAGCTGGCCTCTTGGTGAGAGACGACCCCCCAGGACCCCCAGTAACGTCCCGGGCTCTCTGGCTTGGGTCCCCGCAGCGCCCGATTGACCGCCAGAGATACGACGAGAACGAAGACGTGTCGGACGTGGAGGAGATCGTTAGTGTCCGCGGCTTCAGCCTGGAGGAGAAGCTGCGCAGCCAGCTGTACCAGGGGGACTTCGTGCACGCCATGGAGGGCAAAGGTGAGGCGCCCCCTCCTTCAGCGCCCTCCGCGCCGCGGGCCGAGCGCACGTGGGGAGGGAGTTGCCGGTGGCTGGGTTCGTATTTCGCGCCCGCGTCCCCCATTCCGGGGGATCCGGTGCAGGGGTCCGACCGACAGAGGGACCTGGGGACGAGCGACAGGATAGAGGGGCGGACGGAGGGAAGGCGGGTGCGCCGCGGTCTACCCCTCCCGGAGCCGGCCCAGCTACTTGCGCGCTGCCCGGCCAGAGTCTGACTGGGGCGAGGGCCCTCCAAGCCTGAAGCCTCCCAAACTCTGGCTGTTTCGGGCCCTGCCAGTGAGGAGCTGGCGCTGGGGGCGCTCAGGGATCATGGAATGACGGGCCTCCTCAGGCCTGGGGTCTACGGAACCCCATCACCTGGGGGGCTGTGCCAGATTGGAGCGGGGTTCCGGCGGACTCCCAAGTTGTTGGGCGGGTGGAGCCCCCCTTAAGCCTGGGCCTCTAGCCCCGCAGCCCTGACAGTTTGAAGCGGGGACTGGGGGTGAGTGACAACCCTCTGGCTTAAGGCTGAGTTCCCTGTTCCCTGGCACTTTAAACTGGAGACTTGGGGCACCCCTCTAGAATTCTGGGTGTCTTCTGGGGCCCGAGACCTTGAGAACTCTGTCCCTCTTGAGGGCCCTGCCAGTTTAAAGCAGGAGTTGGAGAAGCCTCTAGGATTTTGGGGTGCCACCCCCTGCCTGGTACCAGGAAGGTGACTGGGGATGTGCTCTGGGCCTTGGGGTGATGTTCTGGTTTGGGCCCGAGGCCTCCAGAGGCCCCGTGGGGTTGGTATTGTGAAGGCGCCCTTGCCTACCTAGGCATCTACCTCCCTTTGCCCTCCTGGGGTTTGTAAGGTTATCCTCCCCCTTCAGAGATTGGAGTTTCCTTTCTGTTATTCCGTTTCCATTTTGTTTGTCCCCCATCCCCCTTGGAAAACCGTTCCATCCATCCCTCAGTGAGCTGATGGCTTCGAAGCCCTCCCGGCCCCCAGGTTCCGCTTGAGTGGCTTGCCTGTGGGGTTAGCCTGGAGAGAGACTGTCCAGGCTTTGCATTTTGAAGTTTCTCTTTTGTGCCCACTGTTTCCTGGGGCGCCGGGCTTCCATAGTAGGGGGAGTTGCAGAGGGGAGTTGGGGGTGGGGGGGGTGGGAAGAAATTTCTGCAGCCTGCCTGGTTTTTCTGGGCATCTTTGCAATCCAGGGGCCATTCTCAACTTCATTTAAATTTCCTTAGCACAAATAGGATTTTAATTCCTCTCCTTTCTCCCCCCCTGGTACTGAGGAGTTGGCAGATCCTATGAGGAAACAATATGCAAACTCTTCCTAGCCATTTGTGAGGAATTCTCTGCCCGGGATCTCCGGCCTATTTGAGGAAGCTGAAGCTGACCCTAGGGGTGGGCTCTGGGGGGGTGTGTTCCCAAGGCGGGCAGGGGTTCCAGCAAGGGAGATTCCTTAAATCTGCTGTCCAAGCTCCTTTCAAAGGAGAGGGCCCTAGGGTTTTGGTAGTTCATTCAGATCTGGCCCCCGAAACTCGGGGGGAGGAGCTGCGAAACAGAAGGAGCCCTGAGCCCGGATTCAAAATAGAAGCTTCTTAAACTTCTCTGCCTTTAAATCCTTAGGAATCCTCATTCACTCCGAGCCCCTGGGGATCTGAGCTGCTAAGGTCAGGGCTTTCCCCAGCTCTGGTTTTGTTCTCTCCCTCTCGGAGCTGAGCTGCCTTGGCCTCCTCCCCCTCCAAGTGGCCCCGGGGAAGAACTGTTTCGCTGGGGCAGGAGCTCCTGTGACCCGAGAGCTCTTCTGTCTCCCTTCTGATGCGCCAGGGAGGCCCTGTGCCCCTGTGGGTTGCTTCCTTTCCCTGAGGATTTGAGGATGTGAGAGTTCATCTTAGCCTCCCTCACCTCCAGAGTTAGGGTGCGGATTTGGGGGGTCTGCACACTAGACAAACCCCAGATGGAAAACTAGGCTGTGAATTTTCTGGGGGCCTCTCCGTGTCCCCTTCGCACAGCCTCCGCCTGGGGAGCATCCCTCTCGGTTACCCAGTTGGAGCAAGTATTGTGATGCTGCCGCAGAATTTCACTGTTACGGCAACAAAGCGGTGCCCAGTTCCCTAGTTATTTTGGCACCAAATACACAGTTTCCAGGGAAACCGACTTTTCCCCCCCTCCCCTTCACTATACAGGATATTACAATAAGATCTTCCCCGATGCTCAGCTACAATGAGAATCCTCCTCCCAGCCTCCTCTCTGGGCCTTCAGATCCTCCCAGGTGGCATTCTTGAATTTTGCCGTCCCTTTACTGTCGGAGCTCAGCTGGGGATGAGCTTCTCTGTCCCTCTGTCTCAGCAGTAGCCGGGGCTCCTGTGCGGGGCTCTTTTCCTGAGTTTCCCTCCCCAACCCTCACCATCCTTGAGCTATTCATTGACAAGTTCCGACCCGCGGGGCATGCCGGGAATGACTGAGTAGGCAGAGGAGCTGGTCATGGGCATGGCTTCTCTGAGACTTGGCTTAATCCGTTTCCCTGTCATTTCCCAGGGAGCTTTTGTTCTGGAGCTGGTGTCTGCCTTGAGTGTAATCCCTGCCCCTTCCTCCATCATTTTTCTTCTCCTAACCAACGGACTGTGGTTCCTTTGCTCCTTCATGACTTCACCAGCTTGTTTTAATTCCAATATCCAAACAGATTTCAACTATGAGTACGTGCAGAGAGAAGCTCTCAGGGTTCCCTTGATATTTCGAGAAAAGGATGGACTGGGAATTAAGTAAGTTGCTGAAACTAACTGCTCCTCCTCCTCACCCCGGTCTCCCTCCCTAACACAGTTTATACCTTGGGATGGATTTCTCATAGCATTTGCTCCATCCGTCTTTCGTCACGAGGAAGGCTCTTGCTTCAGTATCTGGGGGATATAGTATCTCCTTGTTAAGACCTGACAAAGGGGAAAAACTCTAAAGATTGGTCTTTTTCAGAGAAGTTGGGGAAAGGATATAGGGTGCTCAAACAGTGTTGACTTTCCCCCCTGATCCACTTCCTTAAAGAGAGTGTGCCTCCTGCCCCAAATTAGGAAACTGAGGCAGGGCCTGGACTGGGAAGGGCTTGGCCAGCCTCTAAGCCCCAGACAGGGCACCCAGGTACATATATCTTTTTAAAAAATATATGTTTTTATTGATTATTAGAGAGAGGAAGGAAGAGGGATGGAAACATCAATGACAAAGAAACATCGATCGGCTGCCTCCTACACAACCCCCACTGGGGAGCGAGCCCACAACCCAGGCATGTGCCCTGACTAGCAATCGAACCGGTGACCTCTGGGTCCATGGTTTGATGTTCAACCGCTGAGCCACACCAGCAGGGCACTGGGTACATATTTCTACTCAGACTCCCACTGGGTGGGAATTGGTCTGTTTCTGTGGAGGACGGGTTCCTAGGAGACTAGGCCCCTGTCTCCCTTTCTGAGCCTGTGCCCAGCACCTGCCTCCTCACTGGGACTTGTTTGGTTTACTTTCTCTTGGAGACCTGTCAGGGCTCCAGGTTGGAGACATCTGGGAGACAGCCTGGAAGAACAGGTTTCCGCCCCTGGGGCAGGGGTGGGGAGGAGGCTGAGGGTGTCATCTTAGCCTGCTGCCCTCTCCAGCATCGAAGGGCTGCCAGACTTGCTCAAGCCTCTCATTCCTATGGATTGAAATGAAACCTGCAGCGTCATTGTTAATTAATAGTGAATGTCACCATAATCATTATCGCCCCCTTGCCATATCCCTGGAGTTGGTATGGTGAATGTGCCTCCCTGCCTCCTCTAAACTTAGAGGGTTCCCTCCCATCCTCTATCAAACTCATTATGCACAATGTTTTTTAGAGGGAGACACACAGAGAGGGGTACCCACACTAAAAGAAACAGGGGTTTGAATGCCCAGCTCTGGCTCTTACCGTTGACACTACCCTTCAGACTTCCCTGAAAAAGTGGGCGGACAGTGGCTGTTCCCTTTTTTCTGTAGCGGTGTGAGTTCAGGAGTCAGGGAGCGTGTGCGGGTTTGGTGTGCCCATTGGTATGAGGAAGGGGCTCATCAGTGACCCTCCCTTGACCAGCTGGTCAATCACCCTCCCTCTGGGTTGTCTCAGTTTGGGTTCCCAAAATGAGAGCAAGGACCCAGCCCAGCCGGTGTGGCTCAGTGGTTGAGCATCAACCTATGAAATCAGGAAGTCACGGTTTGATTCCCAGTCAGGCAGCGTGGGGCGTGCAGGAGGCAGCCGATCCCTGATTCTCTCTCATCATTGATGTTTCCATCTCTCTCCCTTCCTCTCTGACATCAGTAAAGATATGTATATTTTTTTTTAAATGAGAGCAAGCCCTAGCCGGTTTGGCTTAGTGGATAGAGCGTTGGCCTGTGGACTGAAGGGTCCTGGGTTGGATTCCCATCAAGGGCACATGCCCTGGTTGTGGGCTCAATCCCCAGCAGGGGGCGTGCAGGAGGCAGCTGGTCAATGATTCTCTCATTGATGTTTCTATTTCTCCCTATCCGTTCCTCTCTGAAATCAATTAAAAATATTTTTTTAAAAAATGAGAGCAAGTTCCCCTTGCCCCCAGAATTGGGTTGAACTCTCTGGTTTCTGGCTTCTCATCAATGTCTGCTCCTCATTTTCTAGGATGCCTGACCCTGACTTCACAGTCCGAGATGTCAAACTCCTAGTGGGTAAGTTGCTTGCTGTGTGTGGCTCAGAGATGCTCAAGTAGGGAGGGGGAGGGAGGGAAGGAGGCCTGACCACCTGCCTGCTTAGGTTTTAACTGCCTCTGACAACAAAGTCCCCGGCGGGAGGAGGCAGGAGCAGGTGTGAGCTGCAACCGCGTCATTGTGGGGAACAGGTCAGATTGCAAAGTCCTAAGAAGCTGGATCCGAGGGTGTTTGCCAGTGCGCAGTTTGACGAGGCTGGTTTGGGTCCTAGCCTCCAGCCTGGGTGTCAGCAACTCAGTCTTCAATCTCTCCTTTGAGTTTGCGTATGAGTTGCAGGGTAACGTTCGGCATGCTTTATGACCCCTGGAAGACTTTCCGACTTTCCGGAGGAGGGATTGTTCATTCTTTCCTGCTTCCTCAGGGCTCCAAGCAGGTCTGGGGCGGGCTGGCCACTGATTGCCCAGCAAATGCTGATGAAGGCCCTGAGCACCTGCAGAGTCGCTGCTCACTGAGAGCTCCCGACTCCCGGTGGACCAGGTAGCAGGCGGCATTTCAGATTTCACAGGAAGTTGTTCGATCAGTCCATCCTTTCCAGACGTGTTTCTCAAGTAGCTCCTGAATGGCAGGCAAGTTCAGAGCTGTGACCATGACAGACAAGATCCCTGCCCTCGTGGTTGGAGTGATGGGCAATAAAGAAGTCAACAGTTTTGTGTGTTTTTTTTAAAATAACTTTTATACACATTTTTCAGAAGTCAGCTGTTTTTAAAAATATGTATCATTTGAAGGGTAACAAAGGCTAAGGAGAAATAAATCAGAGTAATGAGAGGAAGCATGGTGGTGCTTCTTTAATTTTTTTAAAATTTATTAATTAGAGAGAGAGAGAGAGAGAGGGAAACATTGATTTGTTGTGTCGTTTATTTTGCACACATTCATTGATTGTTTCTTGTACGTGCCCTGACAAGGGATATTGGGACGATGCTCTAACCAACTGAGCTACCTGGCCAGGGGGCCTATATGATGGTATTGTCGATGGGGTATTCAGAGAGGGCCTGGGGAGTGGTGGTGTGAGGACATTTGGACAGAGATCTGGCTGATGAGAAGCCAGCTGTGGGAAAGACCTTTCCAGACTGTGGGATGAGCAAAGGCAAAGGTCGGGAAGTGTGGGAGGAACAGAAAGAGCGAGGGGGAAAGTAGCATGAGAAGGGAGAGATCACAGGGTCAGGTTCATCTAGGGTTAAACATTTTTCCAAATATTGAGATAAAATTCCCATACCATAAAATTTGGGGTGTACAATCCAGTGGCTTGCAGTATATTCACAATGTTGTGCAACCATCACTACAATCTTATTCGAGAACGTTTCTGTCACCCCCAAAATAAACCCTGTACCTCCCAATTCCTCTCTGCCTCTATGGGTTTATCTATTCGGACATTTCATATGAGTGGAATCATATAATATGTGCTCCTTTATGTCTGGCTTCTTTCTCTGAGCATCATGTTGTCACGGTATATCCACATTGTAGCAGGTGTCAGTACCTCATTCCTTTTCATGACTGAATAATATTCCATTGTATGGACGGACCACATTTTGTTTATCCATTCTTCAGTTGGTGGACATTTTGGTTGTTTCTAGTTCGTAGGGATTATGAATAATGCTGCCATGAATATTCACATACAAGTCTTGTGTGGGCAAACGGTTTTATTTCTCTTGAGTATTTAGCTAAGAATGGAATTGCTGGGTCATTCAGTGACTATATTTAACCTTCTGAGAAACTGCCAGACTGCTTTTCAAAGCAGCTGCACCATTTTACATTCCTATTAGCAAAGCATGAGGGTTCCAATTTCTCCACATCTTCCCCAACACTTGTCATTGTCTGTCTGTTTGATGAGAACCATCTTAGTGGGTGTGAAGTGGTGTGATCGGATTGAAGTTTTGTAAGAGCCCACTCTGGTGGCTGCGTGGAGGATGAAGACAACTGACGGGTGGGTGTGTCAGATAATCCAGCGTGAATAATTGATCCCAAAGTGTGTCATCGGATACTCAGAAGGGAGGCCGGATCTGCTGGAAGGAGATGGCACTGATGACAGAAGGATCTCGGCTAATTGTCAAGGGCTTGCTCAAAGGATAGATTTTTCTTATAGGGGGGATTAATGGTGATGGGGAAAAATAAACAACAACAAAACGATGTTTTTAAAAGCAGGGATTCCAGAAGTGCTGAAGGAAGTGAAAATCAGAGCTGAAGGGAGCAAACTTCCCAACGGTGGGCAGATGGGATGATGGACCCTATAAATCAAGTCTTGGCCCAGGCAACCCGCTCTGGTGCCTCAACCCAGCCCCAGCCTTTGCTGTTAAACAGCCCTGGTTTGAGGTCCCACTTTGTTAGTTGGTGGGTGATTTGGGGAAAGCTACTTAACCTCCCTAAGCCTCAATTTCCTCATCTGCAAAGTGGAGCTAATTGGCTAATCACAGAATCTGCCTCAGGGAAGGACCCTCTACAAGAATGAATGCATACTCAGAATTATGCTGGATGATGAGTGCTCAATAAACGGTCCCCGTTATTCTGTATTATAAATGCAGGACATTGAGCTGATGAGATGCTCTTTATGATCAAGGATTAAAGCCAGATTCTCAAATCTGGGGTTCAGGCAACATCCCTGTCTTACTGACATCGCTTTTGGCCCTTTTGAGGAATTTTCAAGTCCTTGGCGGTTTCATTATGGTCTGGTGTGTCCAGGCCGCCTCTTCTCTCCCTGAGCCTCCTTCTTCCCACTGTGGAAGCAGATCAATGGTTCCTATGCCCTTGCCAGCTCTTGGAAAGTGTAGGATGGCAAAGGAGGCAGGACTAGTAATACCTGCACAGCCTCTCCGGGCATGTCTGCGATAATCGAATGATCGGTGACTATCAAAGTGCTTTGTAAAGCTGTGGTGAGCTCTGCCGCCGTGAGGGAGGCCTGTAATTGTGGGTAGCGTGGGGTGTTATTATGCCCATCGTGGTGCACACAGACATCCAGACAGCGGCAACGGGGCACCTTTGTCATAGCAACTGAAGCGATAAGTGTAACTCCAGCTGGCCTAACCAAAACAGAATGAGTTCAAGGGGTGTCTTGATCTGGGTGCTCCAAGAAGATCTCAAGAAGTTGACGCATATTTTTCCTTCCTGCTTCCTCTTTCTTTCTGCTTCATTCTTTGGCAAGCTTTTCCCCATGTGGTGGCAGAGTTGGGGAGCCAGCAGCTCCAGGCTTCCATCCTGCCAGCTCAGGGTCCTCCTCCCCAACCCCTTAGTAATTCCATCAGATGTCTCTGCATGGGCTCTGATGGGCTTAGCACACCCCACCCAGCAGAACCACGTGCACTGGGCATAGGAAGGAGGAGCTCTCCAGGGCCGCTGGGCAATAGGAACATGCCCCTACCACACATGGGAGTTCTGCTTTGGAGGGCGGTGTATGGGGGAGTCTGGCTCACCCCTCCCAGATAGTGCGGGATCTCAGTCTCTGTCTTCCAGCCTCCTGCCCCCTCCCCAGGTCACTGAGGATTGAGATGGCCTACAGCAATGGGGTCTTGCATATTATGTCTTTCTGACTGGGACCCATGACCTCCTGGTTCGTAGGTCAACGCTCAACCACTGAGCCACACCAGCCGGGTGCATATTATATCTTTATTGTATTTCTCTCTACTGAGGATGCCCAAGCCAACTGATGTCTTCTTTGGCCCCTTTTCTTAAAAAAATTTCAGGATAAATCACCTCATTGAATATTCGTTTATTCTTTTAATTATAGAAATAATCACCTATCTTTTATTAGATGTTTACCATATGACCGCATTTTGTCCTCACCAATAATCATATAAATTAAGTGCTATTGTTCATTATTGCAGATGGGGGATCGGAGGCTCTGAGGGAACAAGCCACATAGATGGGGTCAGTGAAGCCAGGCCCTGACCCCAGCTCTAGTTGTTTCCAAAGCCCATACTTTTGCTTTTATGTTTACAAAGTGCTTTCAGTAATTGTGGCAGGTCACTAGGGCAGGTCTTCTTCTCTCCACCTTCCAAATGAGGAAACTGAGGCCCAGCAAGGTTCAGGGATATACTCAAGGCCTCACTGCTGGGAATTGGAGAGTGGGATTTGACTCTCGGCCAGTGCTCTTGCCTCTGTGAAAGACTCACAAGGAGAGAATTTAAAAAAAACAACAATCCAGGCTGGCTGGTGTGACTCAGTGGTTGAGCATCGACCTATGAACCAGGAAGTCACGGTTTGATTCCCAGTCGGAGCACATGTCGGGGATGCAGGGTCGATCCCCAGTGTGGGGCGTGCAGGAGGCAGCCGATCAATGATTCTCTCTCATCATTGATGTTTCTTAACTTTTTAAAATATATATATATATTTGTTGATTTCAGAGAGGAAAGGAGAGGGAGAGAGAGATAGAAACATCAATGGCGGGAGAATCTTGATTGGCTGCCTCCTGAACGCCCCCTACTGGGGATCGAGCCCACAACCCACACATGTGCCCTGTCCTGGAATTGAACTGTGACTTCCTGGTTCACAGGCCAATGCTCAACCTGAGCCACCCCGGCTGGGCTCATTATTGATGTTATCTATCTCTTTCTCTCTCTTCCTTTCCCTTCCTCTCTGAAATTAATAATAAAAATATATATATTTTTAAAAAAGCACTGCGAAAGAAATCAGAAACTTGAGGATGATAAAGAAGGTTCCAGAACCATGACGAGGGCCAGTTGCGTGCACTCTCTGAAAAGCAGGCTGGGGGGAGTTTGGGGTCAGGGCCCATATGTGCTTCATATTAGTGTTCAAGGTCACCTTGAAGCCTCTCCCGGGCTCTGAGCCTGTGACTCTTAGAACTGACTGATGGAGCCTTCAAAGCAGGGCCAGGGGGCCACGGATTAATTTCTGCAGCTGGAATTTGTTGGATGTGTGTGTAGCCTGTGAGCCCAGAAACCAATGAGACTTGGGAACAGGGGAGGGGCGGGGAGGAGGGAGAGACAGCGGGCTGAGCTGTTGGCCTACTTAGA